AAGCATCTGAAACCACCCCTTCGCCACGGCTTTAACCCATTGAGTTCTGCTCCAAACGAGCCCCAATTCCTCGGACGTTCGGTGTCAAAGATCCCTAGAAAAAAACAATTTGCTAGCATTTTCCACCACTAACCAGCCTCCCAAAAAGCTTCCACCAACAGCCTGCCAAAAGCTTTCCAGCCTCCCAAAAGCATCTGAAACCACCCCTTCGCCACGGCTTTAACCCATTGAGTTCTGCTCCAAACGATTGAGTTCTGGCGGATCTATCATTATTCCCTGGCGCGCTTCCCCTTGCGTCGGCCGGGGTCGGCGGACATGTGATGTGCCTTGATGACATCAGCACCCAGCTCGGCGAAGAACTGACCAACTGAGGGACCAGCCAAAACCTGCCGAGCTGACTGCTTTCTGCCAAACAGGTCTTGGGCACACATTGCAAAGTTGATACGCAAGTGAATAAACGAGCCACATCTCGAGCAGCTGCGAATACTTTGGCACTAGGATGACTAGGATACTCACCAGTACTTTATGATACTCACCATGTCCTACTTAATCTCGCTTAAAGTATCATTGTCCATGAACTCACTTGAGTGCCCACACACTTGCAAGCTCCAAAACTCGAAGACCTGGAAAACGTCTTCGAGCAGAAGACGTGACGTCCGTGAAACTCCCAGAGGCCCAAATGCTGAACGCCGAACATCGGGGACTGACATCTCGAGAGAAGAAACTCCAAACCAAAGAGCAGCTTTCAAGGCTTTCCCTCTTCAAGGCTTTCCCAGTCACCTGCCAGGGCTGGTGCCGGCAAAGTAGAGAGATGGCCTGATCCACAGTACTCCCACAAGCACGGCTTCACAAGAGGAATAGATTCAGGGAAAATGAAGCTGTCTTAGACTTTCTTCACTGACAAATCTGATGAAACAAAGCGAGAAAGGGCTGACTACATTGGCCAAGGCACGCATCTGACTCGCCAGCATTGATGATCTAAGCCATCTTAAGTGGTACAGGTTTTGCATCTGCAACCGCCGCAGTGGTACCACTCTCTCATTGAGACTCATTGAGCAACTCTGGGAAAAAAAGGCAAATCGGCCTGGCTGATTTGAATCAAACAAACCTTATGCATGAAGGAGATGCAGTTGGGAAATGCCTTAGAGCATCATGAAGTGGACCAAATGCTGCCTTTGAGCAGCAATGTTGCAGCTGTCATCCAAGTCAGTTTATATAATCATCGCATGTGCAACAACTGGAAAGCTCTGAGCACATCAACGGATAAGTGGAAAGCAGCGAAAAGGAATCCGGAAATTACAAGGCTCAATGCGATTACCAAACCGAATAGGTCGGAAGTGTGGAAGGGCGCACCAGTCTCCGTGAGCATCCCTGAGCAAAGCATGGCTTTCTCAAGTGTCTCTTTAATACTCATCGTGTGTTTGACAAGATGCTTTGGAGGATGGTTCAAGTCAATCAACCCTTGAAAACATTGTGTAGAGCCAAATTTGCATCGAATATCATCGAATTCATATGTGCAACATATTTTTCAGTAACATATTTTCGTTACATTATGATTTTTGCCCCCCCGCTCCCCCCGCTCCTGCTCTCAAGCAAAGGTTCAGCAAGACCTGCTGCCTTGGATACACTGCGCAGAATAAGGCTCCCAAATGCAACAATATGCAATAAATATGAGGCTTGTGAAGTATTGGGAGCGAATCTGTAAACCGAAGCATGTGCAAATAGGAGCAGCTATGCTTGAGGGTCGAATCTAGAAGTGCAAGGCTTGCGCTGGTTGCTAGGTAGACTTACTTACATTAGCAGGGACATGGTCTTGCTGGAACTAATTTGTCTTCAGCACTCGTCTAAACAAACTCGGTAAACAAAAGCCAAAAAATACTTTCTCAGAGGCTTGCTTTGATATTAGTTTTGTGCGAATATCCAAGATCCATATGATGGCTCTCAGGACCTCACAAGTTACTAAATTAGCACTGCAGCCTGTCATCGTGATCCATTGAAACCCTTCAGTTTGGAAGTAGCTGCTGTTGATCTTGGGTTGCCCACCGACCCCTCAGATTCTGAAGAGTCTAGGAGAGCAAGATCCTGGAAACCGAAGCAGCTACATTGTAGCTACATCCGAGCCAATGTTAAAAAACAGTGGGTTCCTTGGCATGTCAATGATCTTCGTCAATCAGCAAAGGCAAACTTAGTTGTGATGCTGCACTTAGCATGAATTTTCAGATTGTTCAAACCTTAGCCTTACCTACCCACAGCCGTAACGCAAGCAAATCTGAAACATCCTCGGCCATCACAAAGCTATGCCTGGCACATTCATGCGTTGACACAGCCGAGCGAGAAGCCTCTACAGTAAATCTTCTGAACATCCTCGGGCAGTAGCCAAGGTTAAACAAGTCAGGCCATACGCTGGGATGAGCGCCAATTCGATGACAACTGCAAAACGCCAAACGGCACGACAAACTTCGCGTACTTGCCATCAACTGGGAACTTACTGTCAACCGAAACCGTACACTGCGTTCGAATGAAAATTCCAGCTCTGTGCTGCCAGTGCTCTTTGCAATGTTGATTCTCATCCATGAATACAAAACACTGTGGATTTGATTGGATTGGTTTATACATGAATGCAATGGTTTACGTAGAAAAGCAACACATATCAAAACATAATTATGTTATTTATTCCTAATCGCAAAGCAAGAGAAGTTTCATTGACATACCCAAAGTCACCTGCCGGCAGCCACTCGCTGCACAGGCAAAGAATCAAGTCTACGCTCGTAGATCTGGCAGGCGTAGTCTACTCAAGTAATGTAAATAAGCCTTCGCAATTTGCAAAGTCTGAGCAGTCTGAGGATTTGCAACGTCTGTTTCAGGTATGGAATTTTCGGTAAGGATGTGAGAAATTCTGCCTTGTTTGTTCGGTTTCTGCTGCAACATCTCTCAACAATGATCCTCTTCTCCATGTTGTGCACGCAACGTTTACATTTCAACACGACGATCACGGCGGGCTATCCGCTATCCTGTCATCCCATCTTTTCTCTTTAGCAACAGGCCAAATTCACGGCGGAGCCATCGAACACCCCCAACCTCAAGGCAGCTTACCAAATGTGCAAGCTGCTAATTACTGGCAAAGTCGTGTCGAATCTGTTTTGATATTGACCCTGATCACACCTGTGAGAGGTCATTGAAGGAAGAGCATTGTGCCTCTGCCCACCGACATTGGCACTCTAAGCATCGTGCAGAGCATACAAATAGCTCGAATCACAAGCATCAATGGGCAGAAAACCTTGGCGATGTAACCGTTTTGAGAGAAACACAGGACCTTTCTAACAGTCAAGCCACGGATACGAGCCCCACTCGCAGCATAGGCAACTGCCTGGCGTTAACTCGATGAATCTCTCTGACATTGATTGCAAGGGGCAGTTGCCCATAGTTGCCCCAAATAAGAATTGTCAGAAGGATGACAATAGTCAGAAGCAGCCCATCGGTACAATGCCACCAAGAAGTAAATAAAGCTCTTGCATTTACACAAATCAATGAACAGCCAGTGGCACGCTGGATGGCCCTTCCTCAAAGCATCGCCCAACTGGTTCATGATCTTGGCAGGCACCCAGCATCAAATCAGAAAAAGGCGATGTGGAACCCCTGGATTTAACTCCTTTGGCCTATAATCAAGGTAGCAGCATGTGCCAGAGTGCAAAGGTTGCGTCTCTGACTCAAATTGGCCATGCAAAAATAGCAGGATGAGTCTATGTACGAATTAGAAGTCCATGAGGCCAAGCAACTTAGACACCAACCAAGGTGAGAACTGGATTGAGTCATGCAACTGCAGTTCTTAACATGGGTGGGTGAGATTTGTGACCGAACACTCTAGGAATCTGTAGGACATAGCACGCCAATTGTTTGCAAGGACGGAGGACCTTCAGCGACAATGAACATGTGCAGTGCCAGTTCAGCCCTTCAGTAAGACGCCGGCCATAATTCCATAGTAAAGCAAAGACCAGGACAATGTAGCCTTCACCAGGTCGGTTCTTTTCAAAGCAATGTGTTCTTGCAAGTAACCGACAAGAAAACATAGTCAGCGTCACAGGCCTGTGGGGTTCAAGTATCAAGACTGACTAGACTGTTTGTCAAACTGTGTCAAGGAGCAACTCTCAGCTGTCACTGTCACGCTATTTCTCCACAAGTTGCTACGGCGCTTGTTGGCATGATTAAGCTCTTCACGTACAAGAAGCCAATGAGACAGGAAAGATAGGCACGCAGGTGCTCGTACCTTGACAAGGGCGTTGCACCAGGGCCTAGATAGTCAGAATGTAGGGCAGGGACTAAGCGTGTGTAATCTCCCGGTTCACTCCCCAAAGACTGAGGATTGATATAGATTGACTGAATCGTCTTGTCCTTATGTCTTGATCAGAACAGCCCATCTGGCTTGGCTCCCCACGCGCAAAGCAGGTATGTGCCCACAACAACTACAACCACCTAGAACGGAAGAGCTGCAAATGGGAATCCAAAAGCGTTGGATCTGTGGAAAATCACTGTCTTAATCAAGTTGCAAAAACAAAGTATATATACATATAATATGCATATATATATATGCATTACATTTCACATCTTGTGGAGTGCGCGCGCTCACAGTTCCACGAAAGCCCTACTAGTAGGTTCTTTGCAGTGTCTTCCTCACCGATGCTCGTCAAACAGACTCTGTGGATTCTTTGGAAATCTGGGAGCAAGGCCAAGAAATAACAGGCGACATTCAGCCACACCTTGTCATTCAGCTGTGCTGAAGTGCACACAAAACCATGTGCAACATCACAGCAACGCTGCCAATGCCAGTGCTGTTTTGGTGTGGCAGCATGATGGTATGCAGGTTGCCAACAAATGATGATGATGATGATGATGATGATGGTGGTGAATAATGACGTCAGGTTTTCCATTCAGCTGAACAAGGCTGCTACCACAAAACAGTCCAGCAGCGGCAGGGAGACCACGCTGATAATGTAGTGCAACTGGCATGGTGGCAGTTCCGGAGGTTCGTTCCGTAGCACTTAGCTATCCATTGATGGAACATAAAAACAGCACAATTAATAGACAAATCCACACAAATACGTGTCCACCAAAAGGTTTCTTGTGCTTGATGAGATTACACTCTATGACCGATTGGAGAAAACGCATTCTGAATTGGATCGAAATTCACTAGGAATTCACCCTCCAATACCCGTCGCAGATCACTGTCTTAATTTCGGACCTGAAAGCTTGAAGGATCTGTGCAGCCCAAGCGGTACAGTGTTCATAGGCAATGTGCAAGTCAACAACATGTCAGCTGGGTGACATACGTGAAAGATCCACGCAGGATGCACTACAGTAACTCATTGATGTGTAACACAAACGCTACAAACCAAAACCCATACAGCGTACAGTCTTCAAGCAACCTTGCTTCCGCTGCCTGAGCCCAGAAAGCAACAACGACCGAAAAAGCCTTGGCTGGTGTGGTGCAGTGTCTTTACCGGACTCATGACCCTCGGCTTATTCTCATGACCCATGGTCTGTGGCTGGATCGATTTTGGACGCTGCGTTACACAGTGCTTGCTCGACTAACAAAATCATTTTCCTCCACGTTTGCTGGTCTTCAATGCTGTTGTTCGTTACATTTGACAAAGGCGGTGGCCCTGTAAGTCTCCAGCTGACATGAAGACTACGGCTGGAAGAAGAGATATCAAATCCCAAAGCCACCTAAGCAATTTCAAGTCTGAAATATCTCAAGCAGTAGTACGAAGCTGACCAGCACCTAGATCAAGAGGCCAAGTTATATACTGTAGCCAAATATCTAGAAAGGCACCAAAAGGCTATCTGGCCAGTTCTTATGCTGTTGTCGCTTGTTGCTGAGGTGAATGCTGGACCTGTCGAGATCCAAGCTGTTGTAGGGAACTCAAATTGCCCTCCTGTCCAGTGCACTTGTCAGCTACCCCCCTTTGACTCTGACCCTTCTAATTCTGCAACCGTTTGAACAGAACTGTTGCCGACTGTTGCCCAAATGTTGCCTTGTTTTCAATCTCCATCAACAAACTGCAACCTTGGCGGAAAGTGCAGAATCGACATCGGCGGCATCAAATCTCTCATGATTCTCTGGGGCTTCTTGCATCTAACAATGCTGGCACCGAACATGCCCATAGCCAGTAGACGCCGCATACGCCTGGCATGTAGATATGAGGCACAAAATCAAAAAGGTTCCAAAACAATCTTCATGACTGTTGTATGGCGTGCAACGCAAAAATGTTACTGTACATGTTCTTCCTGTCCTCACAAGGCAAGCTCAGTAAAGCATGTCGGGCATGACACACCGAGCACATCCTGTTCCTTCTCTTTGTCACTCGCGCGGTTTTTGTCCTTGTCAACCTTCTTCGAAGTAACTGGAGTAACCGGAACTGCAGGCCTGCGAAGAAAGGACAAAGTCATTTCAGAGAACCAAAACTGTAAATGTGTTCAAAGCATATCAAAGCATCATGGATAGTTGTATTATGATATGCATGACCTAAGGAGCAAATATCTTTTTCGACCTGAAACTCCACCACACTACATCTTTCTGTTTAGCATTCTTGAAGTCCAAAGCATGATTCTGATATTCATGAGCAAGCTATCCAACATGGACAAAGGAACAGCTTGGCACGATTTCGGGCTCACTTCCTGCCTTGGAGTTCTTAGTAGCCTCAGCGAGCAAACGGTGCAACAAACCACCTGTCGGTTAGATCTACAGCACAGAATTGTTGGATCTTTCAGGAAAGACTCTACCAATTCTGCTAGATTTCAGAATGTGCATTGATTGACAAGGACCCAAGCTTAGCGCGGTACAAAAGAAAACCAAGAACTCCAACAATAGCATACAGCAAAAGACACACCTTGGTATTGACAAGTGTGGTTTGCAGTCAAGAGCGATTGCAGCATGGCCGTGCACTTTCGCACGTTCGACTGCAAGGCTTATCATAATAGTCTGCTCTTTCTTGAGGTTCACTACAATACGCTATATGACTCATGCAGAATAGAAGACCTCCGGGTTGAAGCTATCCGAGGTCTCTGCATGTGCATACTTTGCGGAGTCCCATAGACTGGCTAGGCTGAAGCCAGCTTCCGAAGTACGCTGATCTGTGAGGGCTTTATGGGTCTATGACGATCCTGTGCCTATCGGCTTCTGCTATTGAAGGCTGCGGCCTTGCAATGATGTCAGGGTATCACAGTTTGACCCATGCTAGGAAGCTGACCCATTCCATCCCCAACAGATACCTGGCTGTGGGACAGGCTATGAGCGAAGCTCTTGCTTTGAAGAAAGGAATGCATGTCGGTCCTCATACCCCAATACATTAAGTCTGGACAATACCAGCGGGGTTCTAGAGTTGATCTTGCAGACAGTTATCACCTTCATCCAAAGTTTTGCTTTTCATCGCAACCACTATCATTCAATCTGCTAAAATGGTGACACCCAGCGGCACCTGTCATCTATCCAGACTGGTTCCTGCTGCCACCAGCCTGATTGCAGGAGGGACCTTGAAAGCCATGTCTTGCAAGGCTGGGGCATCTTGATAGTTGTGGATGGAAGAGATCAGTTACGAAATACCCGAAGGCCTCAGGCCACAAAAAGCAGCCCGAATCTGGGGTAAAGCTTAACAAGGCTTGGTATGTTGATGGAAAGGCAACCAATTCCCATCAGTGCCGCTCAGCTGATCCTCGAAAGGCCTGAAACTGACGTCGTAGGCATCTCCGTAGTCTGTGCAGCGAGATGAGAGGACATCCCCCCAGAGTCCAGCAAACAACGGAGTTGCAGCACAGGCAGTCTGTGCAACTAAACTGGCGCAACTTGAACCCACCGAATTGGATCAGTAGCAACATCATAGTCTAGACTAAACACATTGAGAATCATTGAGATGTATTTATATAGCTTTATGACTCCCGTCTGGTCCTGCATGATTTCCCCAGTCTGTCGGACAGGTGGAATCGTCATGGCGGCAAGCAAGAGTTTTGCTCTGTACTATGTGCTGGGGTTTGTCTTGATTTGCATATGATGCGAGTGAGGCTGCAGGGTGAGATGTTCTTCTGCCACACGTCCACTCTCGGGGATTGATTCAAGCGTCGAACTTGCGACTGGTGTTCGAGAGCAGCAGCGCCGCCCAAAGCTTGCTTTTTGGAACATGCATTGATCTATTGTATTGTTGGAACATATTTTGAAATGTGTTGATCCGAATCAAGAAGTGTCAAACTGGATCAGTGTATTCATAGATGTTGCTTAGATTGAAAAGGTGCATCCTGGGTAGTGTCAATGTATACTGGGCCAAATGGCTGAAGCCGATGGTTGGCTCCGCAAGTTTTATGCAATCAAGAATGAAGCGAACATCAGCAAGTTGTTTCCAACTGAGTCAAGTCTTTTCACTAGCCTCCGGTGAAAGAAGCTTCCTCTTCGTTCTCGGCCAACATCCGATTGCTCTTGCCACAGTAAAGAATGGCAGGCAGTAAACAGCCAAAGAGCCCACAATAAATATTGAAAGAACTGTACTTGGATCCCCAAGACGCACAGTCGTCATCCTGGTTTAAGATGAATTGCACCAGCGGGGTAAAGAACACCTGCATAAGAATGGCTGAATTAAAGAGTAGAGTGGTCGAGATCTCTGGGGGTGTCGGGTAAGTCTCTTCTACCGCATTTGAGAGCAATGCAGGCAGCGAACTCATCATGAAGGTGCCAAAGAAGGTCACTGTAATCAAGAGACCAACAAGATTGTTAGGACGGAGCATGAGAAGAAAAAGGCATCCAAATGACACTGCCGACAGAATAGCACAGCGCAGGATGGTCCGATAAGCTCGTGTTACTCCCAAGACATATCCAGTTCCAAGAGAGCCAAGCACTCCTCCTGCCGCACAAAGTGAAGAAAGCACTGTCAACGTAGTCCAATACGTGTAACTAACAATATGCTGACTTAACGCTGGCATGGCTCATGAGCCGGTTGCTGTGTTTGTCTCCTTGCATATCATTTGGAGGTCATCCTTTACATTCACGAATATGATGCAATCTGATACTTGGGAGGCAAACACACTCTGATGACACCCTCCATTCAACCACACTCCTATCATGAACAGCCCACTCGCAAGACCAGCTTCAGTAGAAGTGTAGCCGCAGCCGCTGGCAATATCACCAAAGAGTGTCAAGGTTGACGCAGCCAAGGCCATGCCGCAAATGAAGATTACCAAAAGCAAAAAGAAGTGGGGGCGACCTGAGTAACGTCTCCTTCCGCTGCTGTCGAGAAGATCAATAGTGAAGGCAAAGGGGAGGGTGTGTGCAAAAGGGGATCAGCAAAAATTGTTTATACGAAGTTTGTGAGTCAAAAATACCGTAGCCTGGTGCGAAGTTACAAGTACTGTATATAGTAGAATAGGTTTTGCAAAACCCTTTCTGTGCACTACCCTTCAGTTTGCCTCCGAAATAGAACACAACTAGATTTATGCTAAAATAGTTTTAAACAAATTCAAAACTCTTTCATTGGCAAGATGGAGGCATTGCTGGTGGAAACCTCTAAGCTACAGGGATATTGCAAACTTTGCAATTCTAAGCTAAATAGCTAACCTGTTCAAGTATGTTCAAGTTATAAGTCTTTCTTAAAAATAGCTCTTAAGCTCTTGCCCAAAACCGTCACTTCAAATCGGTGGGTCTTATTCACCTGCTTTGAGCCGAGGCCAAGAGACACAGAAGCTGCAAAGTCTCGCGGAGGGAGCTGCCAGCTGCACTCAGTGCAACACCAGCACGGGGAGAATCCATGAATTGGTTCAGGGTCCATATGGCAAGTACAAGGCTAAAGATTGCCTGTGGAGGAACAAAACCAAATGATACATTCTGGATTGCAAGCAAACAGAAGTCGGTTTAAACACCTTTGAACATGAGTTGTGAAACAGTTCCAGTGATATCTTTAATGCCAAACGTTTCGTGCTCTCACTAGGAGCAAGGACGCTATTAGGGGCTCCTGGCCTCGCTACTAGGAACAAGGACGCTACTAGGGGCTCCTGGCCGTACTACTAGGAGCAAGAAGCTACTAGGGGCTCCTGGCCTCGCTACTAGGAGCAAGGACGCTACTTGGAGCATATTCATCGATATTCTATCTCCCGCCTGCCCTGCGAGCAGTGTTTTAGTGCCTTCGGCCTCTGGACCTGTCACAATGAAACCTGCCAGTGCAGAGCCCAAGCCCTGTCCAAAAATGGGCGACAAAGCACCAGCAGCCAATACACCCTGGCGCTCCCAGCAGCAGTGACAAAAGCTTTTGCCCAAGACCCTTCTTTAACACTATATGGTGTGATTTTGACATCACCAAAGCATCCCAAAGCACATTTTGACATCACCATCATGTGTTGTAACACACCTTGACGCCGGTTGGAATCTCTGAAGCAAACCAGCACGCCATGACAACTGAATAAGAAGTGCTCTCTCACTCCCTCTCTACTGTCTTTCTCTGAAAGCCATAGAACGCACTGGAACTGGCCTCGCGTTCTCGTTTTCCAAACCAAGCATCTGCAAAAACAGCTGGGGTGTTCATGATCCTTGGTACAAGCAAAAAGCAATGTAAATGTCCGGATGTGGACAAGCTCTTCTGGATTCCAAATAAGTTGTGATGCTGTGGATCTCTCTGAAAATAGCAAAACCATACAATGCTGTTAGATACTTCAAGCTCAGATCTAATCCTACACATGCTGGCGCTGCGAAGCTTCAAAGGCGAAGCAACCGCCGCGATACCTTGGCCGCAGAAGAGACCCAGAAATCCCAAGGGCCCTGAGAGGGGGCGAAGCAGCAGATCTGAGAGCCAGCGTAAGAAGCCACCAACCAGTTGCAACCAACAAGCTACTCCCATGACCTCAGCAAATGAGCTCATGGAGCATGGTGCTGGTTGCACTGTTATCAATCCTGTGGTACATGTTCAACTACCTAGTTAATGCTAAGTTTCTGTGCCTTTGGGTTCTTCAACAAAGCCTCAAGAAGTCTCACTGGACACGTTTACAAAGGCTTGCAGAATCTACAGTTTACGGAAAGCCACAGAAGACCAACCCTGCACGGAGATCCCCCTTCACCCAACGAATCTCGTCACTGGACCGGGGTCATACAGTACCAGCCCTGCAATTGAAGCATCGGCAAAAGCACACCAAGGATTTGTTTTGCGGAGAGGCGGTAGAGCTACTACTCAGCTTCTTAGGCTTGAAGGCTCGGACTTCGGAAGCCTGAGCCTTCATGATTTGCTTCGATTTTGACCAAGTTTGACCATGCATGTCACAGGAGGACAAAGAGATTTTGGTGCTCTCTGCATCAGCCAGCGATGCTGTGGTCCCTTATCTCGCTGTCCTCTCTAAGAAAAACCTCAGGGATCCTAAATTTAAACATGAGAATAAACCCTTGTTTCTAATAGCTTCTTGTTACTACTAGTAAGGCACTTGTTACTAGTAGCGATGCACTTGTTCCTAGTAGCGTCCTTGTGCTACATGAGAGCATAAAAGGGGGCCACTCACCTACCACATTGCCAAACTCGGTTTCGCCAAGCACCTTGGCCAGGCCATGACTTCGCAATAGCCATGTGCACAGCCAGCTGCCAGGGACATAGACTGCGTTGCAGAGAACCGCCAGGTAAGCAATAAAACGCTCATCAATGCCGAAACGGCTTGCCTGGGCAACACCAGCAGGCTTAGATAGGCTTCCATTCCAGACTTGCATCGAACATGTTGGAGCCAGTCTAGGTTCCAGACTGTTGCTTCTGGTGTAGCAGCAAAACTGAGCCAAAGGGTCTGGTTCAAAATACCTTGCGAAAAAGAACTGTGCAGGCAAACCTGAATACATTTTCGAACCTGTGATACATAAACAACAATAAATACCTGAATTTAACAGGAGACCTGACTGACATTGTCTTGCTCCATGCATCACTTACATTGCCTCGCTAAAGCCAAAAGAATGCGTTGGGACTTGTGCAACAAAGTTCAGCAAAACATAAAACATGAAAAGACACAACAAAATTAAATAATTGGAAAAAAACCGTATATATTATATAATCATACGATAAACAACAAGCAAGACGTGCCAAGACTCCCAAAGTCATGTATATGCTCAACATGTGCCATCTTCTGGAATCCAGCACACCAGAGCGGGAAGAGCGACTTAGCCCCGAAGGGCTTTGATCTGTGGGTCTCATCATGATGCATCTTGAGGCATCTCGGCTGCGAGCGAAAGAGCCATCTTAAGCTCCCATCATGACTCATGACATATGACGTGTCTCAATTCTTGGAGATCCCTGAACCCATCTGATCCCATCGGAACCCTCAAAGTCCCTGGTCTAAAGTTTCCCGTTCTTGAACCAACTACGCAACATGGACATTGTGAAGGATTCCTCTGTATCAACCCATGCAAAGATTTGGCAGACTTCAGCTTGGTTGGCGGGAAGTGAAATACATGACAGGTACATCGAAAACATGTGAAACGTAGTGACATGCCACCTGTGGTTTAAAGAGGTTCCGAATGCCATTGTCCACACACGTCCGCACTCATTATTCCTCATTGATCACAATGTTCAAGTCATGAACAAACACTCGCTTGCCGATGATCCGTTTGCTCTGCCAACCTGCCAAATTCAACCAGGCTCATGCATGTTCATGCTGAGCAAAGTCAACTGTACATAATGCACATGGTCAATGCTAGACTGCTTTCTGCAAGCCAAATGTCACAAGAGTCGCAAGATCAGGTCGCCCCAAACTTTCAAAGGCCGTGGTGCAAGACTTCAGCTGGCACATCATGCATCTTCTGCCAACTATGGAGGTGGCTGGCTCAACGTGCCAAGCACGGTGAACATCATGGAAAGCGGTGCTTCTCGATGTATCTCGTTGCAGCGGTGCTTGGCACCCGACACGAAAGCCATCACATAGTGAAGCACTGGCCCTGTGCGGCCTGGGTCCCGTGCCCAGAACTCGTTCCGGCGAGGTTCGTGACGCACATCCACGCGGCAGAAAAGCCAGTGCGAGCAGAAAAGGCCATTCTAAATGTAAACCCCCATCTCTCTCTCAGGAGTTGTGGCACAAAGTCTGCCTCACTTGAGTAGCGTCTTTGCAAAGATGTCGAAAGCATAAGACTGACGTGACATTTGGGGCACATGGTGCCAAATCTTGCCGTATTATAGTGGGGTGCCCGCAACAAAGGCTCTCACATCCACCTGAGAAGTACAAGGACAAGTCTGGGCCAACACAGCAGCAACGAAAAGCAATTCACCTACAGTACAACGTGTTGAGTCTACGGCTTTACACCTTTGGAGCGAGCTTGGTAACGGTTCCGTTGAGTTGAATTCCAGAGTCCTATTGAAGCAACCTTATGTGCGTTGCACGATTCATCTCGGATGGACTGCATTTGGCCTCCTGCTGTCTGTAACTCTGTAACCAACACGACAAAACATTTGCAGACCGTTGGCTTCCGTAAAGCCCATAGCCATAGCATGCCATAGCTATTATCACCATTTACCACGGGCACCAGGTCGGGAAGAACGGTTAGGCAGATTCTTGCTAGGCTGACTAGTTGACAGGAGTTTTAACCTGTGCTGACGAGACCCTGATGGAGCACTCCAGTACTACCAGGCACGCCCCCTTTCTCCGTAGATCGGTGACAATCATGAGAAACCTGCTCAAAATGGCAGTATAATGCAGTATTAATATTATACACAAAAAATCATGAACATTCTTTGAGAATCGGTGTGTGCCCTAGAGGCCCTAGCAAGATGCCTATGCCAACCTTTGAAGATATGCATATATATATATTCTTGCATTGAAAATCATTGAAAGGTGCCCGCTCAGTTGGCCAAAGGGACTGAAAAGGAGTCCAACTGCGAGACCTTAAGGTGCCTTAAAGTAAGGTGCCAAAGGTTGTGCTCGCTTTTGCCAAGTTGCACTTGCCACCATCAGGCAAGTGGATCCGCTCCAAAGCGAGCAGGAAGCATCATCAAGGCTGAAGACAAACCGGACCGATCTCAATAAGCACATTTGTACAATTGAGAGTAACTGAGGGCAACCTAGGCTGCCTTTTCACGCAACTGAAACAGTGGGCACTGTTTCACGCATCAAATTTCAACGGCTTTCCAATGGGATCACCCGCCCCCACAACGGACTCTTCTGGCGTGCAATAGATACCATTGCCGTTGCCTGTTGTCATGGGGCATTGGCAATGGCCCATGTTGGCCCATTCTACTTTCTGAGCCAGAACACACCAATTCAACACAAAGGGCCGTGAAGATGAAGAAATCAAAGAAGCAGCACTACGCCGTGAAGCGGAAAAGGTCAAAGAAGCAGGATGCACTTGTGAAACCCATTCCCTGGGACACTACCTTGGCTGATCTGCCGCTCACCAAGCACTGCATCTGCCAAGAGCATCTCCAAGCGTCCAGGCAGTGCGAGAGCCCCCTGCAAGCCAATCAAACGAAGCGTGCCAGCCTTGAAGGTTGACTTGTCAAACATCCCATACTTTGCCTGGAAAGCTTGTGGAAAGGCTTATAACTTATGAATATCATTGGTTCGGATTGTGGAAAAAAAGGGGGAAGTGAAGAACTTGAGCCGAAAAGTGGTAATTAAATCAATTCCTTTGCTGACGGGATTTGTCTGTCAAAAGAAAACAATACCTGAGCTTCACCTCCCTCGCCTTTCATGTCTTTCCGTGCGAGCTATGCCCCGTTTCTCACCGCAAAATACCATGTGCCGTATAAGAATGGAGCATTATTGGCAGTGAACTTATGCCGAAGGTACCCTGTACTCTCCCTCTGTGATTGACATCAAGCAACAAAATTAGCAATCCATTTGGGACACTTCAAACATCAAACTCTTGAAGGCCCAGTTTTGGATGTGCTCGCTTAGTCTGTTTGGCAGCTTGCCAGCTACAGACTGGCCAAAGCTGATCAGAGCATCAGCATAGACCTGAATCCAGCATGTCAAACGCACAGTTTGATCACCGAGAGACACCGTTTCCTTTTGTACATCGTTTGTCTTTAAGCATGTTCATGTTCAGTCTATCCCGAGCTAAAACATAAACATGTTCTTGGCACCTCACCCTGGACCTAGGTGCCGTCCGTGATGGAGCGCAGGAATTTCTTCTTCCTGCGAGCTTCTAACCTGCAAGACAATCCACTTCATATCCTTTCTGTCTACCAATCCAAATGAAAGGAATTGATTGAATGAACCAAAAAAAATCAAACAATACATGAAAAGCAGCCAAGTATATTCATTGTTCAGGAGAACCCTGCAGAGTCTCACCTCTTCATCTCCTCCACATATTCCTTGGGAGGTCGAGCTCCTCCCCACTTGATCTCAGCATAAGTACCAAGCTCTTTGCCTTAGGACGTCACACAGCCTGCTCCCACGATCAAACAGTCGCTCACACGACGAAGGTGATGCTGAAGAAAGGCAAGACAAACAAATTGGACGAATGTAAGAGGAAGTTGGGATCATCCCCAAGCATGATAAATCAATGCGTCCTGGAGGATTGCTCTACTGAGGCTTTCGCTGAAGAAAAGTCTCCACAACTGATAGGCGAGAAAAAGGGCTACAACAAACGCCGCGCCGATGACGTACCTGTGGACTGATGTGGCTTGGAGCTTGGCTGATCTTGGCTATTGTCTATTATATCCAGCATTGCAGCATTGTTGTTTCTTAGCCTTAGCCATACTGAGCTACTGGAACGAGCTAGCCAGAAACAAAAGTACTACTAAGTAATCTGAGTACTAGATCACTGAAGCAGCAGAGGCAAAGTGCATGAAAGTGAACTGCACTCAAATACGACAACAGTTGGCAGGGTGCAATGCGAACACGGAGCCCTCAATGGGCTCATCCATGAAAGGCAGCGTGATCTCTGGAGGTCGTAGGGACTGCAAGCGCAGGACAGCTCTTAACTTGTGAATTCTGCAACGCTTTGAGATTCTTTCACCTTGGCCCTGGATACTACAAAATAGATCAAAATAGTACTGTATGCTGAAGACGGACCATGAAGTGAAGCCTCAAACACTTCATTGAAACGTTGTATCAGTACACCTGGATCGTGGAGGTAATCAACCCTTCGAAACGCTCTCAACATCAACCGCTACGAACGGAGCGATCGGACGCCAATCGTAGTGGCGTGACAGATTGCCTAGAATTTCAGTTTCACAACATTTGGAAAAGGACACCAGGCACAAATTCCTTTTGAGGCAAAAACACATGGAAGAACGACCACCAAGTCCCAAGACGACACCAACTCCATCCAACTCCCCACTCGCCTTCATCGCCACAGGGCTACGAGCTCCGCGGACTCCATGAGATCGGCCGAGCGAACCGATAAAGTTGAGACTCCCCGCGATGGCGCTGAGCAGGGCGAAGCCGACGAAGCCGAGACCAACGGCACCTTAAAGAGGTCTCGGTCTCATGTCTCATCGCTTTAGCATTGGCCAAGTCACAACTTGAAACAAGACCTGAAATTATGCCAGCATAGACCCCATTATGGCCAGTCAGTGCGGCCAGGTCTTCTTTTTTCTAGAACCCCAACAGTAAACTGTTTGGGGAGAAACATCCAAAAGGGAAACTCAAACCTCGCCCTCGCTCCCAAAGCCAAAAGTTGGTGCCTGTGAACGAGAATGTATTGAGTTGGACATCTTGCATTCGCCAACCCGGAGTATGTGTTAGCTGACCACAATGATACAGGTGCAAACAGCTACCTCAAGTAATCATTGATGCCAGCATATGCCAGCATCACAACATCACCAAACCCCTTTCAAAGCAGTGGAGCTGCAGCATCTTCAGCCAGGATACCAATTGTGGACTTGCACTCACGTGCCATTGCAATTGGCCGGTGAGTATTCAACAACGAATAGCCCACAGAACAAACAAAGCATAAATCTACAAATACGTGAAACTTTCGAGCTACCGCCTGCCTTTTGCCAAACTGTTTCAATAAATGTCTTGCATATACACGCAGGTGCTAAGTTACCAAGCAGAGCCAAAACGACGGCCAGCAGCACAGCCTTCTACCAAAAAGCCTTTTTCAAGGCAAGCAAAACAGCGCAGTGAGCAAAAAACAATCCTTGTGGTATCTTGTCATTGTGGTTGTGTTGATAATTTGACCAAGAGATGTATTGTATATTGTTGAAAAAAACAGCCCAAGCCAACACCTTGAAGTCTTGGCTGAGGCCTTTTCGCGTGAAACGCAATGCACACGGTGCTCTGTACTAACTCTTTCTAAGACCCTACGGAGATATGCTACTGTTCGTGTCGCATTGGGACCTTGCAGAAGGTCTCCAAAAGACAGTGAATCGAAAAGATCCATGAACCTTCTACAAAGCGAGCCCAGCAAAGGGCCATGTGAATTGAGCAATTGAAGCACCATGAAGATTGAAATCACATTACTCCTGTTCTTTAGCCTTGTGCTGCCTCCCTGAATGCTCAAGACACAAAATCAGGTGGCTCAAGCTGTCCTCTTGGATTCCAAATTCACAGTTTAGCTTGCGACAAAATCGTCATGCTGAACTAGCTCATCGGCCCCACAAAGAGAAAGAAGTTGGCTTCTATTGTAGCTTAGTGGATCTTAGGGGATGGGCCAAAGAGAATGTGAGCTTCGGAACCATTTTAGATTATCAAGACCACGGTCTCACCATTCGTCGTCACCTCCGCCAAACCTTGATCAGCGACTCGGTCATGGCTTGTGACTCAACAAATTTGTATCAATATTTGACGTCCGGCTAGCTGTAGTGCGGAAACAACACAAAGCTTCTGTCGCGAGCAGAACTCTTGCTTGTAAAACTTGGCCTCCGCACCATCCCCCACCTCCATCACCTCCATCATCCCCTTCCAAAGGGAGAAGTAAAACGTAAAGGAAGATCGTTCTCTTAGCGATCATTAGCGGCAGCCACTGAAACCAAATCCCCTTATGATTGGCTAAATTTGGCAACCGCTGGAACTGCTTGAGCACTCTATATGCTGTAATTTTACATCTATGCCTCCAGAATGCAAAGGCTAAGTTTTGTAGCACAAATCTGGCACTTACGTAGGCAATTTGTCTGTTCTCACTGACCAGCACCTCCACCAAACCTGGCAAGGTGCCAGCGTGCGTGCAAAAGATCTACGTGATTGAAGCAACACCTACAGCGCAATGAAGCTGAATCGTTGAACGAAAGAAACTGTGCCGGTGAGGCCATCCTCCGCCACCAGCATCATCAGAACCTCAACAGCAGGGTTTTGTTTAAGCAGGTTTCAGTAGTCCAAATGTGGAGAGCGAACCATTGGGCATGTTCACGATATGCCTTTTCAGGACAATGAGAAGCCCTATAACAGCTCTAACCTGTACACTTGACACAGGTTGACACACACACACACACCACTCCTTCGGTTTTAAGGCACCCAATGCTTTGGCGGAAAGCAAACGATAGGATCGGCCTGTGTTGCTATCTCCATACCTGGCAGCATCATAACGTTCACAAGGCCTTCAACAAGAGAAATCAAACACAGGCCGTGGAAGCCAGCTATCTCCGCCAAAGCCTGTCCAACGATGCTGAACATGTTGTAGTGGATGCTGTTGCTTGAAAAAGCCCGGTAACCATTCATGAGATTTGAGCATTGTTGAAAGTCTACTGAGAATTGGATATAATGGGTTCTTTTTTGGCAAGTTCCTTTTGCAACACCTTGGCAGCTTGCGTTTTGTTTGGCTTTGGCGCGCTGCATTCTGTGCAAAAACACGTGCAAACTTTCATAGACCGAGCTCACTTCACAAGCTCTTGCAAGGTTTCCCAAGTTTTCGCGCGCAAACAGCTCGCGAATCTTTCACGACTGGCTTACCTTTGGCGGAGGCATCTTACATGAACCTCTCTTCAAACGGCTACGTGGGAAGGTTTGGCTGCTGCTGATTTAAACTATGCAGTATATTTCTTATTAAAAGTTTGTCTCGGTTGACGCGATCTGATCTAGTTCAACCCAGGCGCCACTCTCAGGCGCAGAGCCGGGTGGTGGAGGCGATGCCTAAGCCACGAAAACAAATGGAATTGATAAATCTGCATCTGCATGATCTTCGTTGAAGTGCCAAGTACCGGCAAAATCAATAATTGCACAACTACATCCTAATCAACTGAGTGCACCTGGCTTGTGCAATCCACCTACAAGAAATCAATGTGTTGCTTGGAATCTTGGATGTCTTGGAGTCTTGCACCAAGTACACCCTAATCCCAGCAAAGCCTGACCCCACCACCAAGGCTTGGACATCCCCACTACTTGCGCCGCCATCTTCGTTCCTGGCTCTGGAATGGTTTCAGTTTGAAGCCATCGCGACAAAAGATTCAAAATCTTACACAGCCGCATAGTGTCATGCCGATATATAACATGATCAGCTGCATCATGAATCATTCTACAGGACGCAGTCCAAAATCCAAGCACTCGGTGGGGAGAGCACGCATGCTGATGTCTGCCATGCTCTGAACAACACCTGTCAATTCCAAAACTGTCTGCTTGGCACATGTCCGGGCAAACCTGTGCACAACCTCCATCTGTCTAGGGCCCAGAATACCGTCCTGCAGCTATGGACTTGTACAGGTACAGGAGTCCAATGTAATCGGTGCGTTCGAGACTCTTTGATACAAACTACATGCAAAACAGCAAAAAAGTGAGTGAGGGTGTCTTTGGCTCAAGTCAACTCTTGAGCTTTCTTTGGTTGAGGGCACTGCTAGAATCTAACGCTGGAAAAAGGATGTCCATCATGCGCGATGCCACGGAAGTTCCAACGCCCCATGCAAGACCTGGCAACGTCCGAAGAGCCAAAGAGACTAAAAACACAGCAAGACTCGGATGAATAAAAGAAAAATAACAAAAGGTTCTAAAATCTAAAGAAAGGAAAGAACAATGAAAATCACACAAAGAAGGACACATTTGTCTATAAAATTCAAAAGAAGACAAATGTCTAATAGAAGAAAAAAGAACGCTCGTGCAACTCATGCGCACCATCCATCAAAGCACCACGCAAACCGCCACCGCCCAATGCCTCAAGCCCAAATTAGAGCTGGAGAATCTGGAAACATGCAGTTGGCAGGACTATTGTTCGATCGTCCTGGACAGTCCGTTGAACATCACAAGAAGCTTAAAATGGCGGTTTATCAGTTGTACTGATTGGTCTCACATTTCGCTGACAAACTAAGCTTTGGCTGAGACCGTGGCAGGCGCTGCAGCCTGTCAGCTGACAAAATCCATTGGTTGACTAAATTCTCAACTGTTCCCTGAAGTCATCAATGTCCCAACAGCCGCTACAAGTTTTGGGCTCCCCTGCTTCTGGCTGCGGCTGCATGGCTGAAGGCTTCGGGGCACCCACTGCCGTGGTCTGCAGTCAAAGAAGTTAAAGTTACGAAAAAGGACGCAAGGGTTTGTCAGATCAGTGCACATCAAGTACTTGATGCGCTCTGCACAAGTTCAGGCTGTAAAGAATGAAATCCATGAATGGATGCCAGCGCAAACGATCTCCCTTTTTCCACGTGTCGTGGAGGTGTCTCCTGACAAAAACTTACAAGTTACAAGTTCATACAGTAATACAAGTTCAACAAAGCCGTTTGTCTAGGTTTTAACACGCACACAATACTAATCAATAAAGAAGGGCACCCGCGTGACATTGTGTTACATCTCGCTACTTCATGCTTCCTCAAGATTGCTCCTGCTTTGGTCAGCCACAAGACTGTTTTGAACCGTCACTCTGTCGTTCCTACAGCCGCTCTTTCTGCTGCAGTCCTTTGGTCGCCTCCCACGATTCTGCCGCAACGCACTGCGCCGCTCTCGAGCATCTTCGCGGCGTGCGGCAGCGTCCAACAGCCTTTGCCACTGCCGGACGAGTTGATGCAACCGAGTGAGGCAGCGCTGCTCACGTTCCTGGACAAAGGATTTCGATGACACTGTTCTCAACTTGTGCTAACATGCGAAGGTAAGGTAGAGGCATGGGAATGGTTTTGTGATGTTTTGTGGATTCACCCACACGAAACAAGAACACCAAACACGTTCTGGGTGGCAAGTCTCCTGACGGTTCAATTGCCGCTTTGATCTCCGGAGACAGTCTTCATTTCTCATGGCCTTCAACTCTCTCCGCATTCCCATGCGCTCTCGCCGGTGGGCTCCGTTTAGCTGCCTCTGGTCATGTCCATCCTCAAGTGACATGCGCCAATTTTCCCAAACCTCAGCTGGGAGGCATCCAACGGCGTTGAACTCAAAAGGCCACAATGTCTTCAACGCTTTCAATTTGATGGCAGCTCCCGTCCCATCAGGGGGCCCAACTACAATTGCAACATGATGCACCAACTGTTTGATCAAATTGCATCAGTACGTGTGCTGCAAAAAAAAACAGGTAAAGCTGGCCTGGAGACAGAAAAGCATTTGGCACGATATTCGGAGTTGGCAGAGTGGATGCGCAAAAGCTTCGCCATTGTTTTGTGGGCCCGAGGAGTCTTGCTTGTTGCACAAATGCTTCTAAAAACATCCGTGAACTGTTTCCACAGCAGCACGCCTGACTTGTCCCATTGCTCTTCACACAAGGCAAAGATCCGGTTCCTTCCACCCTTGCGGTTCACAAGACTGAGTTCGCTCAAGCGATTGTGCGCTTCAACCAAATCGCCTTGGAACAAAAAAACACATCCGAGATGCTGGCGTCTGCCGCATCCGCCTATGGATTTACTCGACTTGATGGAGCTTCAGGGGTCTGGACCTTTCGCGACGAAGCAAACCTAACCTTTCTGGAGGAGTGAAGGAATGAGAACTCTATGTTAGTTTCTTGATTCTGGAGCAGCAAGCGTCTGAGACATACTCAACTCTTCAAAGTCACTGATTTTTCGAAAGCAGGGAGAGACCACTTGTCTTCGGCCAAACCAAAAAGTGTTCCATAATACAATGAAAAAACGCAAGCCCATCCTTAGCTCTCTAATAATGCAGCCCATATACAATGCAAACACAAGTTTCTGAAGGGCATCGAAGCGCTCAAGCATGCTCAAGCCTCTCATTCAGTTCCCTCTGTGCTGCACAAATTACTGCACAAAGAAAGCCTACGGGGGGAGTTTGCACTTAAACATGAAACTTCTGAACTTTATTCTCGCCAAGTATAAAGCAGTGATGCCAAGGTTCTGCTCCTGGGTCTTACCATGTTCACGAAGAGATTCCTCCAACGCTACTTGAATTCGATCCAGTAAGTTGCAGTCTGGTCTTCGCAACACCCGCTCCTGGTTTACAGCTTGTGCTGGAAGAACGAAGAAAATCTTTGGATTTGTGACACAGAACTACAAGTAAACTGAGGTCCTTAACAGCGGCCAGTACAACCACGAATTCCAGGGCCGTGGGCAAATCACAACATGTTGTTGTCTGCATACGCACACATAGAAAGCTGGATGTCGCATAGTAGTAGGTGCTACCATTCCTCAGACTAAGGGCGGGATTCTGAGTCGAACTATGGCTGCCCATCTTCCGACAAATGCTTTGATCATCATGGATTCTCATTGGCTTTTTTTTACAACATGTTTGCTAGTGTCTACATGTTTCTTCTGTATGCCCACGTGCTTGAGGTGTCTCCAAGCATCTTGGCTGTAAATGAGTGAACGCAGCGAATGTTTTGGCCACCTCTCTTCCTCCGTGTGGCTGGGATGTCCTGAATTGCCAATCGGGGTGCTTCCTTTGATTCGGCATGGCCTCAGGCACAAGCAATGCCATCAGATCCATCAGATCCATCAGCCCATCAACATCCCTCCGAACACACCAAAGTGCCAAAGCACTCGAAAGTGGCACACGATATGCCAAGCTGCTAAATGAGGCTTCACATGGCCCTTCCAATGCTTGAGCAACTCCAGCCAGTCTGAGCGGGTCCCCTAGGTTTTCACATCTTCCGGTCTTGATCTCCCTTGAGTCGGTGCCCGGGGGAATCAGCTTCTCATCTCCAAACTCAGTTTCTTCAGACTGAGGTTGTATGTTGCTGTTCTCCGGTTCATTCGCAGATGCGGTCCTGAGTCTTTAGGGCACGAATGACGCAACAACGCTCAAACCATCATAAGCTCCTATGAATTGAAGGACATCGTTTCTTGCTGAAGGTGTCCCCAACTATGTTGCCTCGTTGACACCTCGTTGAAGAAAGTATGCCTCGTTGACACCTCAACTTAGCTCTAGACTGCGAGGCTTTGTCCATCATCCACTTCTCCAGCAATATCCGCTGCTGCTGTGAGAAGCAAGAACGAATGACCTCATGTCTGCCGTGGACGGTGCAAAAATAGGCCACTTGGGAGATGGACTTGGAACACTACTCTGAAAACAGCCGGCAACAGCACTGCCTCGAAGCGCTTTTCCCGTGAAAGGTCTTCCAAGAGCTTCCAGATTCTCGAGAGCTGACAGGACCTGAGACACCGATTCGATATGATTCGATAAGATCCTCGAATCTACTAGCGATGGCCTCCACCCTAGTAGCGATGGCCTCCAACCTAGTAGCGATGGCCTCCAACCTAGTAGCGACGGCCTCCACCCTAGTAGCGATAGCCTCCACCCTAGTAGCGATGGCGATGGCCTCTACCCTACTAGCGATGGCCTCCAACCTAGTAGTGATAGCCTCCTCCCTAGTAGCGATGGCCTCCACCCCAATAGCAATGCCTTCCACCCTAGTAGCGATGGCCTCCACTCTAGTAGCGATGGCCTCCAATCTACTAACAGTATGGCGATGGCCTCCAACCTAGTAGCGATGGCCTCCACCCTAGTAGCGATGGCCTCCAACCTAGTAGCAATGGCCTCCAACCTAGTAGCGATGGCCTCCAACCTAGTAGCGATGGCCTCCAACCTAGTAGCGATAGCTTCCACCCTAGTACCGATGGCCTCCACCCTCGTAGCGATGGCCTCCAACCTAGTAGCGATAGCCTCCACCCTAGTAGCGATGGCGATGGCCTCTACCCTACTAGCGATGGCCTCCAACCTAGTAGTGATAGCCTCCTCCCTAGTAGCGATGGCCTCAAAGCTGGTAGCGAGTAGCCCCTAGTAGCGAGTAGCCCCTAGTAGCGATGGCCTCCACCCCAATAGCAATGCCCTCCACCCTAGTAGCGATGGCCTCCACTCTAGTAGCGATGGCCTCCAACCTACTATCAGTATAGCGATGGCCTCCAACCTAGTAGCGATGGTCTCCAACCTAGTAGCAATGGCCTCCAACCTAGTATAGCGATGGCCTCCAACCTAGTAGCGATGGCCTCCAACCTAGTAGCGATGGCCTCCACCCTAGTAGCAATGGCCTCCAACCTAGTAGCCATGGCCTCCACCCTAGTAGCGATGGCCTCCACCCTAGTAGCGATGGC